AACCTGGAACAAATCAACGAATACTTTGTTGTCAGAATCAGAAACTAATTCCAAGACATGGTGTACCAGATGTAATACGACTTACATTACCTTTTAGAAGCTGTAAGGTAAAAAAGGCAGGAACATTAGGTATTCATTATTTATCAACAAAAAGATGACAGCAGACAATGGAGCAATAATTGAGAAAAGGAGAGATGAACGGTAGTGCAAAAGAATTGCCGGGCAAATCTCCTTTGGCAGAGAGCACACTGCATACATTAATTCATGTCTAAGTGGCTTCCTGCCATTGGAGATATTGCCCTGTAATGTTGCAATTGCACCTCAAGAAACTTGCCTTGTGTTTCCCACAATACTTGCTTGCTACTGCCTTGTTTATATACCCTCCTGGAAACAAGCATATTCATGGGAACAATGCCTTCTCTTGAGTGAACCGCTGCCACTTGATTTTTGTTATCTTTAATTCCACATATTTCCGCTGAAAATGTGTAAAGGTAAAGTAAGAAAGTAATGAGCGGGATTAATTGGACCTCACTGAGGAATGTAACCAATTTGACCCTTGGATGCCTTATAATGGAAGATCCAAAGAATGTTCTCTACATGCTACTAGGGGAGTCCCTTTTGCAGGAGGCTGAAGCCAACCGACCTAATGGACTCAAAAGCTGATTTATGTAGGGACTCGAGGCTGCATTTTCGGAGGGCCTTAGACAAACAACTTACCCTTGTAATTTTAAACTCGACATCAAGACCATTCTGTGACTAAGATTTTGTTTATGAAAGGAAAATCCTAAAATTCTGAGTGGACCTCTTCATTATCTGCCCACTTGTTTATTAACAGTAGCTAGCGATCCAAAAACTAAAAAAAGAATTGGATTCGAACACATATAATAAGGGTTTTTTTGCCCATTAAACCAGAGAAAAATTAATTGGTCCATTAAGTCGGTTCAGAATTTATTTTATAATCTACGACAAATGTTATAGTGTAAGGTAAACTTATCATCTCGAGGAAATAAATTTTAATAAAATATAATTTTTATTAAAATTTTTAAATAAAAAATATTTTTTTACTAAAACTCGCCACCTCAAAATGACATTCTTCCTATATTGTAACATTTACAGTAAATTACAAAATAAAGTCTGAAAAGCCCTATTGAGCCAAATAAATTTGGCGCCCTCGGTATTGGGTAAAAAAACCTATAATAAGATCATCCAAGTCCGGGAAAACTGTCAATATGACAAGATAAACTCATAATAGGGTAAACTACAGATTTAGTACCTAAAGTATTATTTATATTCTGTTTTAGTATATAAACTTTTATTTTTTTTCAAAATCATACATAATTTTTAGGTTTTTTTTCATTTTAGTACTTACATTTTTAACGGAAGGGTACTAAAATGAAATAAAATGTAAACGTTAGGTATAATTTTAAAAAAATTGAAAGTTTAGGTACCAAACAGAATAAAAGTGATAGTTTAAATACTAAACATGTAATTTACCCTAATTGAATTAGATTGCTTTTGGGCCACGAGGCCTGCAATAGGGACCGAACCTATATCACGTGTGAGGAGCCCTGCCCGCTGCCCCCACCCCAAACTTTTATTTTTAAAATACATAAATTAAGGGGTTGTTTGTATGTCTCTTAATAGAATCATTCCGCGCTGAATGTTGAACCGTTCACCATTCAGCGCGTTTGTTTCGCACCTCTGAATGATTCAGTGCTGACTGATTCAACAAAATAATGTTGAATGATTCATCACAGAAGTACATTCTAAATGATTCAGAGTCATTATCAAACAACATGTCACATTTAGAACTAATTCATACAGAGTCTCTGAATTATTCAACATTTGAATTATTCAGCGCTTAATCATTCTGAAGTAAACAAACATCCCCTAAGTCTTAGTTTTATTCTTAATTTAAATACCTTTCAAGTCTGTTTGTTTTAAGATTAAATAATTTAGTCCCTGTATTTTTTTCTTATCTAGGGTTAGTAAAAAGTTGGTTAAGTTGAATTAATCAAATAAACCAAAATACTATTTTTTTAGTTTAATTGGATTTCAATCAATTCGATTTTAATATTTAACTTTGTTTAATTTTTATTTTATAAATTCAAACTAAATAAATTGAATAATTTTTACAAATAATAAATTACTTAAAATATATTTAATTAATTAAATCCAAATATAAAATTAAATATCTAAATATGAAATAAATTGAATAATTCTATTGTTTTACAAGTCTAATGTGGTTTATAAGATAATATATATTCGAAAGACTTGACATCGTTTGACAATAAACATTCTAATCCACCTACATCTGTCGTGCTTAAACCGAGACATTAAAATATAACATCTATTATTTTAACCATTAAAATCATTTAAATGGTGCTTCTATTTGATTTTTTATATCCCGGACGATGTTTTCTCATTTACGCTGCAATCAAGGATGAGTTGGGTTATCTTTTGTCGTGTTGAATTTTTAGCTTGTCCTGTGTTTTGCAGGAATACTGTTGACACTGCTTACTGCTGCAATGCCAGGAAGGCAGGCCGTAGAGTAAAAGTATAGACTACTTCAGCTTTCTGATAAGGTTTTTTCCCAGAATTGAAATTCTTCATTTCCAAACAAAACAACACAGTGTATTAGGTATTTTACTTCCCAACAATGTCATGGAAAAGGAGGTTTCATCTCAAGTCTCTACAGATATATACTTCCAAAGCCTACATATATAGCTGTCTTGACGAATTCTTCAGAAAGGAACAATAAGGAACACCGACATAAGACATGCTTGTATAAGGTTTTTTAGCCCCTTGTCTTGATTAAACAATTGTTTATTTGTTCACAAGAAAAAACTGTAGTATATGTAGTGCTCGCATAGTTGGCTCATGTGAGTCGTGGTTGCCAGGATAGATAAAAAGTAGAGCCTCCTCTCCCAAAGTGAAAGGCGGAAATGGACAAACAAAACAGATATATAGATTTTGTTATCAAAGCATTGAACTACAATACAAGATAAAAGGGAAGTGGGTCTCAAAGGAGCGTGTGTGCCACTACACCAACCACCAAGATTTAGTAAGAGTGATTTAAGGAACACTCGGTAATTCCGAACATGATATTTTCAAATAATGTTTTGTTGCATTGCATGCGTAATTTAATATTATATTCACATCCCCCCCCCCCCGTTTTTATGTGCTCACGGCAGCTTGGTCTTGATGAACGTAAAAGGATCCCTCTCCAACCAGACATAAAATAGTAACGAACAGGAAGTGAAACTCGCAAGGCAAATAATAAACAGCATGAAAAATCCGAAACATAAGCTTATGAAAATATCACCACCAGCTTGGTCTGACGATACTTTATGGTTGGTCCCATTTTTCGCAAATTATGAGAAGCACATATACAATGGAATATTGATATGAAATGTCAATGTATGAGTGTGAGCCATATGCATGGGACCAATTAGCTTATTATTAATGCTTTCATGTAATCGATCTTTATTTGTTATATGATCGCCGAATGCCCTTTAGCATTTTTATGTTAAATTTTGCACTTTTTCACATTGTACTCCGGAAAAAGGAACAAGAATTTGCGGACATATAGGTTATGGATAGACATAATTACATTTTCATAAGTACATCTAAATCAAGACTAATGTAACTATAAAATCCAATACTATAATTTTTTTTGTTGAAATTAATCCAACTTTTCAAAGTTGAAAAGCAAGTAGGTGAAATATATATAAATATGAAAGCCAGAAAAGCTAGACAGCTGGATATAATTTAGAAAGAGGAGGAAACCTAGAAGAAGAAAGAGGGATAAAGAATAAGAGAGATGTGAGAGTGTCAGAGCATGTGAGCTTGCAAAGCCACAAGAAGCAGGCAACTTAAGGGAATTGCTTGCGGGGGGACAAACAGAGATAAACCAATAAGAATGGCCCGTGAAGCCTCTGCCTCACCACCAAACCATTGCATAGTATACACAAACATTGTCTGACTCTACTTTTTCTGCCCCTTTTTGAATCCATCCATTGCCTGTGATTGTGATCCCGACTTCATCCGACTCCCAATTCCCATGCAAATATTGCCAACCCATACGACAAAATATGACAACCACATTACTCCATTTTATCCATCATTCCAATTTAGCCTTATCGTTTTGGCATTTCTTTTTACCCTTTTCTGCCTTATTTTAAATCACTAATATCACTCTGTCATCAGGCTTCATGTCCGGGTACTCCCTGTTTTATTTTATTGTCTCTATTTAGCCAATCAAAAAGGAGAAGTATAGTGGTGGATCTAAAAATTTTAAAATATGAGTCCAAAATTTTAATATTATTTTCTTAAAAATAATAGGTATGCAAAAAAAATTATTTTATCCATTTTTTTGACATATTAAACTAAATTTAATATTTTTTTTCTTAAATAATGAGGATACACTTGACCCTAGGGGCTTAGTGCATCCGCCCCTGGAGGAGCATATAACAATTTGTATACCCTTTAATTTAATATTGCTGTTAATTAATTATATTTTCCTTCTCTTATTATTTTATAAAGTTTTCATAACTGCTGCCGACCTTGTTAGCTAGGATGTCACATGATCAAACATGCCAAGTGGTGAATATATGATTAAGTAAGCTCAAAATCATTCCAATATAACAACAAAGAATAAGTACACAACTCCACAAATATTCCATTCAATGTTCCAAAAGTACTGACGCACTAACTACGAATCATGAAAAAGAAATAGCATTGTTGTTAAATTGGATGATAATCAAATATGAGAAACACTTAAGAGATGGAATATAAGAGCCACCCTGCTAATATGGTATTATTGGTATCAAAGCAATCATATAATAGTTGCCTCAAATATCGTAAAGTTGTTTTTTTTTTCATGCTTGATCCTATTATAATAATATTCATATAAGACAAGCAAAGGCATTTATGGATCCCAAGACATACCCTTCTCTCTCAATTACTCATCCCTTTCCCATCCTATATAAGTTAAGCTTCTTCACTCAGATCATACTACTAACACTAACACTTCACATTTTACACATCCAAAGAAAAGTTCAGAATGGTAACTAAGCTGCAAAGGAGAACATCCCGCAGAAAGCTTCAGTTTCGGCCAACTCTCTCCAATTCCAAATCTGTAATGTCAATATATATGTAGTCTTATTATTTTGAGATCTTTTATTATTATTCAGAAGAAGGAAAAAAAGCTTGTAACTTTTTTTTTCAAAGGTTAAAAGGAGGTCGGTCTTAAATGTTGTTCTCCAGCGTCACAAGCTCAAAAACAAGTTGGAAGAAATACACAGAGAGTATCAAAATCTTGTGGCTATCAGAAACCAATACTTCACTCTATTGAAACATATACAGATCCCAAAGGTAATATATGGTTTACGTATATTTAAGCAGTTTTTTGGTTTTTCAAGTTCGTTTATGTAATTCATGGGGTGTTAGCAGGAAGTGAAGGTGGAGAAGGTTGGGGAAGAGTTGATTGTGAAAGTGAGTTGCAACAAAGGAGGGGACAAATTGGTCTCAATTCTAGAGGCGTTTGAAGAACTGGGTCTTAACGTTCTTCAAGCTAAAGTTTCTTGCAGCCATTTCTTTGCCATGGAAGCCATTGCTGTGGCTCAAAACCTGCAGACTACTGATATCAAGGATGTTGCTCAAGCTGTCCTTAAGGCCATTGGAGAGCAAGGAGGTGACCTCTGACCATATATAGAAAGATTTTGCTGGGAATTCAAATGGTTAGATTAAGAAAAAGTTATGATCAATACAGTGTATGGTATCTAGACATGTATGCATCTCCGTATATATGGGGTTGTAAAACGTAATGGTCTCTGTTGTCTGATTCAGTTTGTATGGTATGCATCTCGGCCGGGTAGTAAAAGATAAAAAATAATCAAACTTTTAAAAAGTAAAACAGTGGGCATATGCATCTAGATAATAAAAGTGTAATCAAAACAATGAGTTTCCATTGCCGGGAATTGAACCCGGGTCTCCTAGGTGAAAGCCAGATATCCTAACCACTGGACGACAATGGAGAGGAGTGAATGGCTGGTTTGTAATTTAAAATGAATTTCTAAAACTTTAGGCATTATAGGATTTTCTAGCAATTTGTTATGAGAGAAAAAGAAGTATATTGGAAATAAATCAATGTTATTGACTAAAATTCACTCAGATTTCACCCTTGTATTTTCATTTACAATCTATAATCCATTGAAAAACATTTCATCTCCCACCCGTTAATAGTGAAAGGTACAAATTAATTTTTTTTTATGTTCACCTAAATACTACTTGTTAATCCACATACCTTGATGTACATAATTTTTTTTACCACCATTATGTGCATAAATATAGGTAGAATAAACTTTTTCCTTTCAATTTTACCAGTTAGTCAATTTACTCCTTTTAGTCTTCAAACTTTTATTTTCTTTTAAAGTAACCTAAACATGATAAAACAATTACAAATTATTAAGTTGGCGTTAATTAATTTATCCTTACTAAAATATTAGTATTGACTATTGTATTCTTTACTATATCATAATTTTTTAATACTAAAAATTATATAAAAATATACTTTATGTTAGTATTTCAGTAAGGTCAAATAACTTTTTTTTATGATGTGGTAGAAAATCACAAAAATAATTAATGCCAGTTTAATGCTACTGTTATTATTCTCTCACATCTGGATCAATTTAATAATAATAAAAATTTTGATTACCAAAAATGATGCAATAAAAATTTAATAATTAAAATAAGGCTTTAGACTAGAAAAGCCCCTAAACTATACTTCTTTCTTGTTTTAAGTCCCTAAACTATTTTTGATCAAAATAAGCCCCTGAACTATGTCTCTTTTTTTGCTTCAAGCCCCTGAACTACTTTTTTTATTATCAAAACAAGTACCTAATTTTGTGTGTTGTGTCAACATCGTATCGGCCGAAAGATATTTTCTTAAGTGAAAAAATGATAGGACTTAAAATGATTAAATATAATAGTTTAAGTACTTAGTTTGACCAAAATATAGTTTAGGGGCTTAAAACAAAAAGCTAACATAATTTAAGGACTTATTTTTACTTTAAGCCTTAAAATAACTAAAATGATAAATTCAGGGACAAAAAGGTCATTCTACCTACCTAAAATATAATGAACTGACAATATATTAATTAAAAGTAAAAAAATATTAATTAGTCTAATAAGACAAGACATTATATCTCTTAAATAATATTCAAGGTTCAAATATTAACATATATAAGGAGTAAGTTAGATTGGAAAGATTATCTCATAATCAACTATAATAATAACTTAATCTGAATTAATAGACAAATAAATTAAATACCAATATTTATATTAAAAAATTATAATACATTAAATTAAGTATAGACAAAATTTATTCAGTGGTTAAATAAATGATGATTATTTTTATAGGTCATGGGTTCGAGCACCATCGATTGCAGTAGGATGAGGGTGATTTAGCGTTATTATTAAATAGTTGAAAGTATTTAGAACTGATACTAATTTACTACATTTTAATTTAATAAAAAATATATTAAGTCAATATCAAAATGTTTTTGTCAATAAATTTATTTTAAAAGAATTTATTGGCAATAAATGGCCTGAATTGATGTTTTGGACTTCAACTTCCGACCCTTTAAAAGACTCGACTTATTCAAGGTTCGGTATTCAATATTTTGTTATACAAGGAGCACTAGTTCAACCAAATTGAATTGCAAAAACAATCTGGATGCAACATAACAACTAAACAAATATGAAAATTTTCAATTCCATTGGAATTAAACCATTGTAAATGTTGAAGAATCTGGTGTAATTAAACTATGATCAATGACGCAATGAAAATCTTATATGTTAAATAAATCGATGTTTTGTAAGAATATTAACTTTTTTTTTTGCCCTCCAGTTTCAAGATTTCGCATTGACTAATCTGGATCGACTCGGATCGCACACCTGACTTTGATGGGTGAGTCTTCTGGAGATTTTCTATATACATAAAAACTCGAACCTGAGACATTACTTAAGCAATATCAATCTGCTTACCACTTGAACAAACAATGTTGATAACTATCTACTTATTTAAATATCTATTATGTGATCAAGAAAGATGATAAAATTGTTTCAAAATTTAAAAACATTTCATTGCGTCACTGTATATATATTATATTATCTTTGAGGGTTTGTTGCACTTCTTAAATGGCTATGGGTCCATCCATGGTTATATCAGTTCCTACTAGGCAAAAATAGGGTTTTATTATTAACAAGTTGGTTCAAGTGGTAAATAACTTGATATTGTTTAAGTAAAGTCTTAGATTTAAGCCATTGTGTATGTAGAAAATCCACCAAAGTCAGATGTACGATCCGGATCAATCCAGATTAATCAGAACGAAGCCTTGGAACTGGTAGGAGAAAAAGTTTCAATTAATCAACGTTTCCTGGCCTCTAAAGTTAGATGTGGCGTCAGTCCCAACACTATGCAATTAACGGTCACAAACAAAAAATGTATTTCTTATTAGAATAATTCTTACTTTACAACATGTTTGTTCCTTCAATACTTAAAGTTTAGTAGATAATACCAAGGATGGTTAAAGTTATGAATTATTAAATTTTTAAAAAATAATTTTCAAAGAGTGAATATTGATGATGTGGAGAAAGAAAATTAATTTGAAAATTTCATCCTTATAATAATTGTATACAAATTTAAATTAATCAACAATAATTTAAGCATTAAGGATTATATAAAAGATATTTAATCTGTAATAATATGATCTTTCAGTTATGTAAAATTTTAATTTCAAAAGTTAAGAGTTAAAATTTGATAACACCAAAAATGTATCTTAAATAGCACACAATAACACATCTGATTCAATAATCTGGCAGCCCTAACCCTTTCACTTTGATTGGATTTGGTGGTTAAGACTAATGAATATCAATTTAGTTGAAAATTTATTTACATTTATTTTAAATCTAATAATAATTATTATTATGGTAGTATTTTATTTATTTTACAATTTGTAATCTGTAAGTATTATAAAATTATATTTTTATATAAAATGTTTCTTTTCATTTATATTATGAGACTACTGAAATTTAATATGTATTAATTTTATTATTAAAATAGAGTAAGTATAAGATAATATATGTTCAAAAATAAAAGTATAAGATAATATATGTTCAAAAATAACTATCAATCTATTTAATATTAAACGCTCATACGCCTTAGATTATTGATTCTTGAATTTGAGATCTCAATGAATAACAACTTATTTACCACCGAAATCGTTTGGTTTGTGCTTATTATGCATTATTTAATAACGAGAAAGGGTAATGCTATCATTTGAAATTAGTACGGTGGCACCCAAGATTTTAAAAATCTGATTTCAGCCCCTCGAACTTAAAAAAAATTTATACCCTTTCAAAAACAATTATAATTTTTTTTCAAAGTCTTGATTTTTTGAATATTTTTAAATAGATCCCTCCAAAATTCTGAAAATATTAATTAAACATGTCATTTAAAAAAATAAGGGTAAAGTATATAAATAATCCCCAAACTTTTAGGATGCTTGCATTTTGGTCACCAAACTTTTGAAACTTACAATACAATCATCGAACTTTTAGTTCATTTGTCACCCAACATTAATTTTAAAAAAACTAATTAAATTTGTCAAAAGTTTTGAAAATTTTCATTAGATCATAAAAAAATAAAATTTCAATTTGACTTTAAAAATATTTGGGTAAACTATACTAGAGACCACCTAACTATAGTCATTTTTCATTTCGACCACCATTTTTAAATTCTTGTCAATCAGACCACCTAACTATTTAAATGCATTCAATCAGACCACTAGCCGTTAACATTTAACGGAAGTGATGGTGTGGCAATTAATAAAATTGATATAATTACACATTTGATCCTCGTTATTTATACATTCTTTCAATTTAGTCCTAATTTAATTTAATTTAATAAATTTAATCCTCTAATCATATGATGACAAGTGTCATCATCTGATTAGAGAGCTTTTTTATATATAATTTTAATTTATTTAATATATCATTTTTTCTTCAACTAGGTGATGACACGTGTCACCATCAAATTAAAAAAACAAATTTAATCAAGTTGAGACATGTGAGAGGTTTAAACCTAGGTACTACCACAAAGAGGAAGAAAAGAAAGCATTGCCATTGAGCCAAACCTTCATTTGTGATTAGTCTTACATAATTTTGTACAAAACCTATTGTGGTTACTAAAAAAACAAAGAAAGAAACCTACTTATTTAGGGACTTAAATCTAAGCAAATTATATAATTAGGGAACCCTAATCACAAATTAATACAAAATTAAAAATAAATTTAAGATTTATTTTTATATTTTTAGACAAAATTTAATTTTTTGTCATAATTATAATTTAATGAATAACCTTTACATTGGAGTTAAAAATATTTTTACTCTATTAAAAAATTTATAAATTCAAAATTTAAAAATTTTAACTTTTTTTTGGATAATTCAATTTCATTACCCAAGAAGCTGAAAACCTGCTACAGAATACAAAGCCAATAAACATCACATTGGCAAAGTTATGAAAGCATTCTAAACTAACCCAGCTTACACATAAAGCAAAACAATGAAGCATGTCATGCTTAGGCTGATCTGTTGAAATATCTGCCTTCCAACCGGATTCGAATGGTCTCTTTAATATCTCCCGGCACGTCTTCCTTTGATGTAACTCTACTCCCAAACAATCTGCTATTCTTCTCCTTCCATATGCCATACATATGGCTAGTCCAAGTTTGAGAACTCTGACAATGATAGAATTACCTTTAAAAAGATGAGAAGCCCAAGCCAGTTCACCATCCCAGCTGTTAACTCCATGAGAGATGCCACACAGATCAAGAATGAAACCCCATAGCTCCTTAGCAAATAAAGAATAGGTGATCTCTTGTCTCTGCCTTAATGCCACATAGCAAGCATTTGTCGGTTTCAATGGCTAAGCCCATTTGCAAGAGCCTTACCCGAGTATGCATCATGTTAAGTATGGTCATCCATACGA